GTGTGTGTGTGTGTGTGTGTGTGTGTGTGTGTGTGTGTGTGCGCGCGCGCGCGCGCGCGCGCGTAAGGGGGGTGGGAACGTGGGCAGGAAGGGGGTGGGGGGGACCCCAAACAAAACCTTCTCTATATTTGCAAAGATTCAGAGCCTGGGGCTTCCACGCGGCACTCGCGCTCCTAGACCTCGCATTCGCTTTTCACCTCCGGGAAAGGGGTGCTGCAGGAATCGGCCGCCCCCGCCCCGGGGAGCTGCGGGCTAGAACTTGAGGCCCGCTTTGTTCGGCTCCGCTGGCCGGAGCCCCTCCTCCGCCGCCGCCTCCCGCCCCCGCGGCCCGCGCTCGTGGAGGTGGTGGTGTCTCTCCCTTTCTTTTCTTCATTCCTGTCCCCCTACTTCTTTCCTCCTCGACAGGAATGCGGTCCGTACAGCTGGGGCTGTGGGTGAGGAGCGGGAGCCTCGTGATTGACAGATTCCTTCTTCATTCTCTCTCTGCCTTCGGGATTAGCATTTTTATCGAGTATTTTTAGATTCGGTTGTGCCAATCTCCCGCCCCCTCCGCGCACACGCACTTTTGGTTGCAGTGCAGGGCTCTGGCTTTCAGATGAGAGAGTTAAGTGGCAGAGAGTGGGGTCCTCTCCTCCGCCTCCCCTGACTGTTTTTTGCCCACCTTTCAGTCAGAGATTGCGGGTGGATGCCCAGAGGACGGGGCTCAGAGCCGAGATAACAACACGCACCCCAAAGTGGGCCTCGCTTCGGCCCTCGCATTCCTACAGAGCCCTCCTTCCCAAAGCGCTTTGCCATCTGTCTGGATCTCCTTTATCCTCCACTTCGCGCCAGCTAGGTCAGGCGGGAGCTCACAGATGGCTGGTAGAAGGGGTCAGTGAGTGACTTCACTCCCCACGGCCTTCTCTTAGCTGAGGTGTGCCAGGCTGGGAATTGGGGTGTCTTGGGGGGGGCACCTTAGCCTCCTGTTCTCTCCCTCTCAGCCCCCTTTAAAAGTCTTATTCTGAACCAAGGGAGAGTTTGTGTGTGTGAGTTGGGGATGTTCTTGGGGTTCCAGGCTGCAGAGCAATGAGTAGAGGGTCCCCAAGGCCAGAGCCCCACAAAAATTGTCATCCTTGCTGCTGGGCCAAGGAGTAGACTCCATCCTTGGCCACCTGCTTGGGGCAGCTGTACAAGGGCTGCCATCCGTGTCCGGCAGGCACAAAGCAACATCTGTCCACGGGAACCCAGGCCTCTTCTGGAAATAAATGCCACATATGGTGGGAGTGCTGACTTGAAAAATAATAATGTTTTTCAAAACTGGGTGGATCCAGTCAATAAAGCGGGAGGGGAGGCAGTGTGCTGTCTGGGAAGTGTGTTCTGGGTGTGTGATCGGGAGCCAGAATTGACTTCAGAGGAGGTGGTGTGATGTGATGGTCAGTGAGCCCTAGGTCCTGGTCCCAGCCCTAGTTCTTCCTTCTTTATTCCTTTGGGTGAAGGGTGGGGAGTAGGGTGGATGAATGACCTACTTTTCCAGCCTGGGGAAGGCTTTGCACAGCCTGCCTTCATACCTGCCTGAGTACATTGAGGACAAGTGCTTTATGTTTTGAAACAGGAAAAAAACAAAAACAGCTATCGATTATACAAGGAGCAGCTGTGTAAAGTGTTTCACAGTTTACAAAGGACTTTCACATGCTTTTATGAGATTAAGAAAAAGAAACTCCTGGAAAATAGATCAGGTAATTAGGCCTAAGATTTATCCCACGTTTAATGTTGAGAAACCTTTAGAGGAGAGAGGTGAGAAAGGCTTGGCATAGTAAACATGCAGTTCTGACCAAATGTGC